GCTAAAGAGAAAGATAGAAAGAGGATTTGCTTTGCAAAGTCCAAAGTATCCAGATTCCAAGCATGCTTTTCACCCAAATAGCATTAACAGTTTCCTGGAAATACTGAAGCATTTAAGTAATTTTTTACTATAAGAATAAGCCAGAGAAAGAGAGAGTAAGGGAGTATTATGTGTGTGTGTGAGTTTAAGTATAATATAAAAGTATATTTATTTAGGTTAAACGTATGCAGTTTTGAAAAAATGCATGTTGTTCGTTTCCAATGATTTGTATAATACAAATTGGTTTTTTTTTTTTTCATTTTTTGTCATTGCTGTTCATCGATTAACGATATTACTATTTAAGAATTTTCGAAGATGAAATTTTATGCATCGGTATGTATTATGGTATTCGAATATGTGTAATTGTAATTCAGTATCTTTTTACTGTCTGTACTGTTACTGTAAAAGTAAATTCTATATTTTTTCTTTTTGATCAATTGATTCTTTATGGAAAATTTGTTTAACGATTGCAATGATTTATACACGCGTTTAACTTTTATTGAAATTATTATTATTATTATTATTCATTTAATATTTCACTGTTTTATAATTCATTTAAGATATTTTTTTGGATACATCGTTTCATCGATATCCGGTTATATTATTATTATTATTATATATTTTATATCAAATGATTTTAAATAATTTTAATATCTATTAAAAACGTTGATTATTCAAAAATGAATATATTATATATAAATATATATATTTATATATAATATATTCATTTTTGAATAATCAACGTTTTTAATAGATATTAAAATTATTTAAAATCATTTGATATAAAATATATAATAATAATAATAATATAACCGGATATCGATGAAACGATGTATCCAAAAAAATATCTTAAATGAATTATAAAACAGTGAAATATTAAATGAATAATAATAATAATAATAATTTCAATAAAAGTTAAACGCGTGTATAAATCATTGCAATCGTTAAACAAATTTTCCATAAAGAATCAATTGATCAAAAAGAAAAAATATAGAATTTACTTTTACAGTAACAGTACAGACAGTAAAAAGATACTGAATTACAATTACACATATTCGAATACCATAATACATACCGATGCATAAAATTTCATCTTCGAAAATTCTTAAATAGTAATATCGTTAATCGATGAACAGCAATGACAAAAAATGAAAAAAAAAAAAACCAATTTGTATTATACAAATCATTGGAAACGAACAACATGCATTTTTTCAAAACTGCATACGTTTAACCTAAATAAATATACTTTTATATTATACTTAAACTCACACACACACATAATACTCCCTTACTCTCTCTTTCTCTGGCTTATTCTTATAGTAAAAAATTACTTAAATGCTTCAGTATTTCCAGGAAACTGTTAATGCTATTTGGGTGAAAAGCATGCTTGGAATCTGGATACTTTGGACTTTGCAAAGCAAATCCTCTTTCTATCTTTCTCTTTAGCTTCTTTTTTTTTTTCTTGTCTTTATCTTTATCTTTTTCTTATTCTCTCTTTCTCTCTCTTTCTCACTTACTCATTTTAAGCATACTGGCGCATACGCCGTGAAGAACACGTTCCCAACAGGGTGCCGTCTACTAAGTGAAAACCTGGCGATATGCCAAATCGCGTTTCGATCCCACTTCAACGATCGTTTTTCATCGAAACATCGAGCTCAGTTTTCTATCTCTATCTCTATCTCTATCTCTATCTCTGTCTCTATTTTATTTCAATTTAAAATGTAAGATTAAAGATTATTATATAATACACACACACACACACAATATAATATGAAGAATTTTTGTATCAAATGATAAATATGTATAAACGTTCATTGAGATTATTAAATATATAATTGTTTTTATTTTTTGTTTAATATTAATTAAATTATTTATTAAATCCTGTGGATTCTTAAAATTGTTTTAAAATTAGGGATAAAGAAATAGTTCATTGGGATTATTGAATATATAATATATTGTGTTTTCTTTTTAAATATTAATTAAATCACTTGTGATCTTCCTTGTAGATTCTTGAAATTGTTTTAAATTAGAGAGAGAGAGAGAGAGAGAGAGAGAGAAGAAAAAAAGAAATAGAAAATCTAGGTGTCCTATCCAATTAGATTCTTTAATTAAATATTAATCTAATGTATGTTTAAAGAAAATCGTTTTGTTATTTGAAAAGAGAAGATTGTTGTTTGAATGTTATAATTAACTTTAAAAAAAAATATCAAACTAACGAATTGCTTTAATAGAGATTCGTTTAAGTGTCTATTTATAAATTTAGTTGACACAGTGATCTCAACCGTTTGACACAGATTTGAAATTACCTTTCATGCATCAATGATGATCCTAAGTTAGATTTATATTTCTATAAAGAAAAACACTGGTAATTAATAAACAATTTAAGTCTCGATTGGTTATAAAAAAATAAACTATAATATATACGTATGTAAATTTAGAAATAGGAATAAACATAATTAGATTTTGAACGATCATTATCCTATCAATTTAATTCTAAATTGACTGTGTATTAAAAAAAATATTATTTTTTCCTGATCACAACAAATGATCGATCTTGTAAACGAATCTACGTATTTCTTTCTAAGAAAAATTTGCTTGTTTTTTCATAGTTTGGTGTTAAAATAAAAAGCACACGATGGAAAACCAACTACCATTTACAAAATTTCACACACACATATATAATATAGGAAATGTGAAGAAATAATGTGCATTAGTTTTTAAAATTTCTTCTATAATATAAATTCAAAAATAAATGTTGTAGAAGAAAAAAAAAAGGGCTTGCTAGTGCATTTGAGTTGCATTACTGCAACGATTTCCATTAATGTACAGAGTTAATCAAAATGATCTCTGAAATGAATTATTTATTATTCGGTGGTCAATAAAAATATTGTCGTTTAAATAGTGTTAAACTTTTTTTATGTTTGATATAATATTTGTATAAATATACAAAAATTGATGATTGTACCAGATACCTTTACTACTTAAATTGAAAATTTGACAAAAAAAGTTTAGTTAATCGATTTGTGCAATGAACGGATTCATATACGCGTACATACATATACAACAAAAATTCTCGTATATAAAAATAATTGAACAAAACATTTGATCCCGCATAAATAATATATTAACACATTATAAGACATTATATATTAATCAGGTTAAAAACAAGGAATCTACTTTACGATCGTATATGATATGGGTGCATAAGGAATTGTAAGATGCACAAACGATGCACAATTCGATAAAGTTTAATAGTAGTAGTAGTAGTAGTAGTCAAAAGACAAGAAAAAAAAATGAAAAACTTGGAATATCTTCTTCCCTTTTATAAGAGGGCTGGAAAGGGGGTAGGGGTAGGTGTAGGAGAGGTGGGGAGGAGATGAGGAGGAGGAGGGAGGAGGGAATCGATTTCTCTTCAAGTGTAAAGACTGTCAGGGGACAACAGAACAGATGTGCTGAGAAAAGTTGCTTGCTGTTCGGGCCGATACTTTCAAGGGACTCCTACTTCGTTTCTTCTCGAACGAATGAACGAACGAATGAATAAACGTTGATATGAAACGTACGTATGAAACCGTATGAACGTTCACGAGAATTCTCATAAGAGTTTCTCGCGGAAGCGTTTTGCTTCGCGATTCAATCGAAAGTCTTTGAATAAATGAAGGCACGCGCGCGCGCGCGCGTACTTTCTTGGGTGCATCAAACTCTAACTTAAACCTGGTGCTGCTGCTCACTCGTTCAGGTCGGCTCGAAAACAAGGGGAAATAAAAAAAAAAAGAAAAGAAAATATAATAATAACCAAGGAGAAGGAAAAAAACGTACACAAGTTCTCATTGCATTCTGATCGGGGAGGGTAGCGGAAGGAAATAAGAAAACAAGAAGTACATCTATAGATTAACGTTGCTTTTTCTTATTTCTTTTTCTTCTTTTTTTTTCACTTGTAATATTGAAGAATAATAATATCTTATTATTAATGATAATTTAATTTGGTGAAGGTGGGGGGTTGCAGAAGGGGAAAAGAAAGTTCGATTGACGATGCAATATTTGTAATAATTATTTGTTTATATCGGTGTACTATGACGTTATCCTTTTTATTATTATTATTATTATTTTTCTATGAATATATTATTAATAAGATTGTTTTTTTTCTTTTTTTTTTTTTTTTTTGTAATTTCGAAACGTGACTGACTCCCCCATAAATAGACATCTTATTTTTCTAACAAATGTATATATCAAAATACAGAAGTAATCGTCAATGTTTTACGTTGTCTCGTTGTTTGTAGAATATTTTATACTTATTTCTTTTTTCTTTTTTTTTGGCTTCTCAAACTTACAAACGAAGTATTGTGTAAAAATTTTTTTTATCCTTGCAAATTGGACTCAACTTTTTCGGTATTCATTAAAAATGGTTTAAGTTTAAGTAAAATTTGCGAGACTAGGGGAAAGGGGAGGAAGGACGGAAATGTAATGAAAAGACAGAAGGAAAGGAAAGGAAAAGAAAAAAAAAACTATAAAAAAAAAGCCTTGGAACGTGGTCGATCGTAGCTAACTATAACTGTGTGATCATTCGTTCGTATTGCTAGTGCAACTTGGCTATAACATAATAACGTAATTACTTAATAACAGAGAACTTTTTCGAGAATTCGTATCATGGGTTGTATGACGTTTGATCAAATTACGATAAGACCTGAGTTAAACGTTGATATTACAAAAAGGAAAGAACAATTTTTCTTTTTATTAACAAGGATAATATATTAAGTTGCAAATATATATCTCTACACATTTCTCCAAATATTTTTATAAATAAATGAAATAATTCTACGATAATAAATGTGAACTTTGTTAATTGCATTATGAATTTCTATACAACACACATATTTATATTCTATCATAAAAAAAAAAAAAAAAAMAATGAATAACGAAAAAGATAGTAAAGAATAATAATTGTTCAATTTGTTTCGATTTAGGATCAGAAAATGGTCGAGTATCGGCAGAGAGCGAGGACGAAGGTGGTGGAACGAGTAATGGTATTGGTGAAGGATTGGATTCGGCTACCGTCGGATCCGTAAACGGTAACAGAAACAACGGTTCGCCTAATAATGGCCAAGGTAACGAAAGTGGACGCGGACATTCGTCGTCAAATTCGTCGGGTAACAAAGCTCGTCGTAGAAGAACTGCATTCACGTCGGAACAATTGTTGGAATTGGAAAGAGAATTTCATGCTAAAAAATATTTAAGTTTAACCGAGAGATCCCATATAGCGCACGCGTTGAAATTGTCCGAGGTACAAGTTAAAATATGGTTTCAAAATCGTCGAGCAAAATGGAAGAGAGTTAAGGCTGGATTAAATGGAAACGGTGGTATCGGTTCTAATGCATCGTCAATGTCAACGGTTGGTGGTGTTGGTGGTACTCGTCATGGTGGTAATACCGGACAGCATACCGGAAACGGTACGAGAATAGTCGTACCAATACCGGTTCATGTTAGTAGATTAGCCGTAAGATCGCATCATCATCATTTGGAAAAATGTGCCAGACCTGGACGTGTTAGAACAACGACAACGAGTTCCACTGCTACGACAAACGCAACATCTAATTTAGGTCCTACGATTGCAACGGTCAACGACGTTGATGCAACTTCTCCTTCCCCCGTCTCCTCCTCAACCGCCACCCCCTCCTCCTCCTCCTCGTCAATTCTCGTAACCGACACCGCCATGGGTTTGGTGAACTCCTCGATGAATGTATCAAGTCAATTGCAAAGTTCACCTTTACCTGTAGGCGTTGGGATTGGCGTGGGAGTCGGATTAAGAGCCTTCACCGTACCACCTCATCGGGATGGACTCAATTCGGCCGGAAGGTAGTCAACGCTCGAAATTCGCGATATTATTTCTTTTATTTTATTTTATTTTATCATCAATAATTATTCTGTCCATACATTCCTTTTAGTTGAGATTCGTTAACGTAATATTTAACCCTGGATAATTATTCTGCGACAATTATTATTAAAGAGCATATTTGTGTGAAGTATTTATTGAAGATTTGCAACGTTGATTAATTCATCGAAATGTGTGATTAAATATATATATTTTTTATTACAATATTCCGTCACAATGAAATGAAAAAATCGATTTATTTATCCTAGGGTTAAGTATATTTAATTCTAACAAACGTGAGTTTGATAATTCGATTTTATCTTTATTGTTTCTATTTAGATTTATAATCTAGAGTTCGTTTTATTCAAATAAATTAATCCGGTAATATCCTAACGAAAAAGAGAATCTATTGCAACACCTAAACGAACACATACATACATATATAAAATACAAAATAAAAGAAAGAACAAAAGATGCGTGCGAGTCGTAGGAGAATGATGAACAAATAAATAATAATGCTATAAAAGAAAAAGAATAAAAAGCGAAAACAACGAACTGAACGTTAGCCATCAGTGGTGTTAATGGTGGTAGTGGTGGTGTGGTGTGGTGATGGTGATAGTGTTAGTAGTGTTGGTTGCTGTTGACGATGATGATGATGATGATGATGATGATGGCGGTGGCGTTTTTAAATAAACATAAGAATCGAAAGCTGTAAATAGAAACGCGCGCGTGTATCTCTAGGATCGTATTGTATATACATCGGTCATGCATATTATAGATAATTTACGTTAGGCACGGTTTTACCCTATCGCATTCTCTACTAAGTTACACGGTGATATTGTATCGATTTGCCGTGTGATTATCGCAGCTGTATTATACCGGTTGTCTCGCAAAACGTTAAGCGACACAACGTACTCTCTTTCCTACGTATATACACATATACGTATACATATATATATTTATGTATATATGTATACGTATATTGTATCACACATATATACGTTTTTGCCTGTTAATTATAACAATGGACTAAATCATAAATCAAAAGAATAAGAACTAAATGAAAACTATAAACGCAATTGATTTTACAATATTTTTTCGCATTTTTTTTCCCCCTATTTAATTTTATTTTTCTTTTCTTTGTTTTTTCTTTTTTCACAAATCAATTTGAAGAAAAATTTGATAATTCTGAAAGTAATTTTAGTTCATTGTTCTGATGACCGGGCACGCATAGATACGTACGTACCGTTTTAGCATACTTTGTGTATGTATCAATGAGGGCAATAAAAATGTGCGAATAATATCATACGATATAATTATTGTAATTATGCATTTATTTATTTTACTTGTTTTCTTTTTATATATATATATTTAAATTATTCGAAATGTATGTCACAGGATGGCGATAGTTAAAAAATAATTTCAATTTAATTCGATTGAA